GATTACTGTAAGAAATTCTTGGAATTAAAATAAAACAAAATTGGCAAATAGATACTTATTGAAAATAATCTTAAGATACGGCTATGTAATCTTTAATACACAGGGCTTTTGTCCTGTCCAAACCTTTTTCTACTGTTCTGTACAGCTTATGTTTATAAAAGACCAATAAAAGACCCAAAACTTGTAATAGCTCAGGTACATTTATTACAATTTTAGGAAATATTTAGATTCTGTAAAAATATTTAAAATGACCGTACCAAGTTTTGCATTAGAAATGTTGTTTTATTACTCTCTCATACATAAAAATAGACTATAATAAAGGTTTACCTCGAAAATTAATCTTAAAACACACACATCTTATTAATTTAATTTAAATGTAATATCCCTTAGAGGTTGAATTATACAAATTAGATTTTATTGATTTCTCAGTTTTAATATATTAAAAGGGATTTTTAATACGAGAAAGTCCTAGGAGCTTTTTAAATGAATAATTTAAATGATACGCCCACAAAAAATGCAATTATGAAAGGGAAAAATAGCCGATTGAACAGAATGTATTTTTGGGTTACGTAAAAGTTACTTTATGTGTGATTAGGTGAAAGCGATTGATTTCACAGTTCAATAAATATCAAAATGAAATCTGTACTGTAATTGCTTTTTCCAAACAATTATATAGATATAAAAATTTCTTATATTCGGTTCAACATTTGTATGGAAGTTCGTATATCCTCTCAGAAATGTTATGTTTTAATGAAAACATATTAGTTTGTATTTGTTTTGCAGTATGTTACGAATATCGATACTAAAAAATGATTATAAACTTCAGTAATGCCCCAAATATTAGTGTCTAAATAGGGGAAAATCTCATATATTTTATGGTGTTATAGACGTAGAAAAAAATATAGTGTTAAACTCACAAAAAACTAATGAATTAATTTTACTGGTTAATTTTTTTTTATCACATTTAACTATATAATTTTACATTCTAATCATGTTTCACGTTTCAGTTATCATTTTGATACTGTTTTTCTTCGTCTCAGCTTGATCTATGAATTCTTATGTTCTATTTTTTATTTATTTTTCTTCCCCAGACTCATTTATCTATATCATTTCTTATGGGGTTTCAATATTAAATTTATTATGCTTATTAATTCCTACATTGAGACGTTTTAATATTTTCATCATTGACTTCCATTTTTAAACATATTTATTAATTTATATCTATTGTATAATATTATATAAATAATATAATGCATCTTGTAGTAAAGTTTTTAAAAGGATGTAAAATTGCATTTCTCTTTGACATTACCCTAAAGGATTTATTCAATTGAATAGTGTTTTGACCTGACCCTACGTAGATATATCTGAAGAAGTTGCAGATGTATATACTAACTCAGACGCAATATTATGATATTAAAATGAGATATATTTCATACTGGGCACAATAGAATTCCAACATTTCTAACATTACTTTTCTTGCCGTGGCATTTAAATATCTAGAATATCACCATCAATTACGTATTTTAATTATTGGTTAGAAAGGTATGTAGAGGCAGTGTTGTATCTTGAAAATTTGGTTTAGGGATACTATTATAAAATTCATAATATTAATAACATTAAATAATCTTATATAGGGTTGCTAGACTTTTCGCTACCTTGTATGATGTAGATTCAGAAAAAAAAACAATTATAATATAATACAGTCCCAATTATCACCCTATAATTTTATAATTTATAAATCTGAAAGGATTTAGGATGCGTGGTATCCTTTTTCCCTACTTTTGGAATAAAGGTGACTCTGGCCCTTTTCTATGATTCTAGGATTCCACCTGAGGATCGTCTCAGGCAATTATCCTGTGATCAGATAGAGACGGATCTCTCGATACTCTCCAATTAGTAACTAGATCTTTTATACTCGATGTACTTTCTACCCTTGTTACAAATATGGGAGTATTCCCAATGTTGTGCACAATAAGGTTTCTATTAAAAATATATTCTAAAAGTTGCTCACCTTTTTGATTCCTGTCGTTGCATGCCCCATGTAATACTGTGTGCATTGGTATCAGTATCTAATAAGTAATAACAGATTTCTTCTCTAGAAGTACTCCACTAGCTTCGATACTTCTGGGAGTGGTACATGCCCATCTCCTGTGAAATAGTTCGAAGCTATTACTATGTCTTGCTGCCTCATCCAAAATGCGAGGTATGCTCGAATTGGGACGAGACCCCGCGTCATAAATTCTAAAAAATAAAAAAATTAGTATTATTTCTTACCATGATACATGTTCTGAGTACTTTATCACTAGTGTGATAAATTACCATTGTATCTTACCTGATTTACGTAGGCCCACAGTTCCTGGATCAGTACGTACACTAATTATTTAATGAATGTTCTGGAAATCACAGCTGAGGCTCTCTTGGCGTGATGAATATTCACTTGGGCGATGTAAATACCCGTCATTTTACTCTCTATAAGTAAAGGTGTCGTCCTTATCGACGAGGGTGAGTTCCATATCCCCCTCTTCTACTTCTTCGTCTATTTCTACATCCTTAGATGAGTCTACGTAGAGTTGAGAGGCTGAAGCTCTCTATGCTTTCATCATTCTCATCTTTGGATAGTCAATAACGGATAGAGTATCCATTATCTTTGATCCTTTAGCCTTTGCCCTTGTCTCTTTGTCTAACGATCTTCACAGTGTGATCGATAGCCACTCATTATGTGCTTCTCTACAGTCTGCCCTTGACTTCTTAAAAGAAAAAGTGTTGCTGTGCGTGCTTTCGCGATGTCTCCCGAACATACATCCAACTCCACTCCTTTCCAGTTGCTCAGATGTGGGATGTTTGCCCTGAGCCATTCTGCTGACTGTAAAGTTTCACAGTCGAGTAGAATCATTCCTAACCAAAAGTGGATGCCTAAGAATTGGAGCTTATGCTCCCGTCCAGCAAATATATCTTCTACTATGGTTTCCTCCACTAGAATTCGTTCGTACTGAGGATAGTCTCAGGACATCCCTTAAGTAGAATCGTGACCCGCTTCGTCTTGACGACAGTTGCATAACTGCCAGAAGTGGAGGTAACGGCCATTTTCTTTTTCTTTCCTTTGCGGTGGTGTGGCGTTACTCACATCCCGCTTTTGGATAAGTTATATAGAAAGTACTGCAACTTCCATTTACCTGAACTGATTTTTACAAACGTAGGTTCCATGCGAAGAGCATTAAAGATAGATTTCAGAAATAAATAACAACTCTAACCAGCTTACAAAAAGGCAAAAATATTATTGTTTTACTCATTATAATCAATTTTAGCAACATAAATTCTCATACAACTTATAGGGTGAACCATCATTCATCATAATTAAAAAAAATCCAAGATCTTTGGAATGACAAGAGATATCAGTTCGTGGTTTTGACAGCTCAATAAGTCATCTTACTTACCTGTTTGTAAACTGATTGCCAATTGAAAGATTAAATGTATTATTATACATTCAGAGATCTACGTTTAATGTTCTATGTGAAAATCAGTTCAAGCAAATGAAGGTTACAGTCTTTTTTGTATCAACGAAAGTATATACACTTCCCCCACTATTTAGGAATAGGTTATACAAAAAATGATTTAAACAAAAGTTGTAGAATAAAGGCAATAGTTTCTAAAGTAGATATTTTTTCCTACCCTAAATAAAGGAATATTTAAAAAAAAAAACGCAATTAAATTTTGTAAATGATAGATTATGCCACCTAGCAGAACACTATGGAATTAAAAACAGTTCAAAGCAATTTTTTAGGGCCGATTTTGTTATGCGAATCTTTTTCCCCCAAATTCTAGATTTCCGAGATCCGTCGGTCATTATAATTAATGAATTACCCTGTATATTTACAGTTTTTGTTACAAAAATTATATTTATATTTTCTATGCCACCTGTTAAACGGTTTTCAGTGTTAGGTGGTGTGTTAAATAAGAATATTCATTGAATTATTTAATAATTATATAACTTAAAAAAATTCGTTCTATCAGATGATACCATTGTGGTGCATTACCCAGATTATTATGTGCCACTGACAGCTCCAAGGCGCAAATGTTTGATGTGTGCCACATTCGCCAAATTAGCTAAATTGATTTGATCGACCGCGAAAGGTACTTCTTGGTTTTTTAGATGGTTTCAAACGAATTATAAATCGTTTAGTTTTGGTTTTGATGTATAACGAAACTCAATTATTATAATGGAAGATGAAAGTGCGTGTTTTTTTGTAGATGTTCATTCAACGCATTATATTGTTTGACAGGAGATTGTGATACAATCAAGATAAATATATATATATATATTTTTTTTATTTAAAATTCATTTGTGTTTGACATCTCGTACATAATAAATTTTAGTAGTTGTTATTATTTATTGCAGATAATAAAAATGTAATTTGAATCAATAAAGTTCTGTCAACTCTTTTGGTATGAACACTGTAATAAATAGTGGGGATGAAAATTAAAAAAAAAGTACGAGCAAAAATAATAATAATAGCCCTTTTACGAGTGAATTTTTAACCCCAAAAGTAGAACTTTCGTATGGTAAAGACGGCTATTATCATTTGACTTAGATAAGGAAAACCCCATCCACCAATTTGTACAAAAATGCAGTTTTAAATTAATCAAAAGAAATAAAAATGTTTAATCCATGTTTTCTAAATTTGAGAGTAGAATTATACCTCTCGAACCATTAAAAAATATACTGAAATTCCTATTAAAAAATCAACAAAAATGTTCCCTAAAAAGACTAAGTTAACAGAAAGTGACAAAGAAAGTTGTTCAAACAAAACTTTTTAGTAAAAACCATATTTATCTTTTAAAAATTATACGCTTCTTAAATATTGAATAATATAGTAATTACTGAGTAATTAAAACGAATGTTTTTCATTTACTATACTAGGTTATGTCTTTATATTTGTTATTAACTAACTAACCAGCTGTTGCTGTTGATAAATTTAAAGATTAATTCTATACTAACTTACCTTTTGTGTGCATGTGTTTTCAGTCGCCTCTACATCAGCTTTAGTGACCTGCAACAGAAAAAATACATAGTAATAACACAGTAATTTTAATTTGAAAATATATAATTAGATATATGTAAAGATCGGCATATTGTGAAAGTAACTACTGCCAAGAATTGCCAAATAGCGAATTTTTCTTAAAAACATTTTTACTTTCCTATCTGTATACAGATATAAGGAAAATATAGGAATCATGATTTTTTTCGACCTCGAGTTTTCGACGCATTTTCACGTTTTGAGGTCCCCTGAATCCGACTATTTTCGCGATGATGTGTGTGTGTGTGTGTGTGTGTGTGTGTGTGTGTGTGTGTGTGTGTGTGTGTGTGTGTGTGTGTGTGTGTGTGTGTGTGTGTGTGTGTGTGTGTGTGTGTGTGTGTGTGTGTGTGTGTGTGTGTGTGTGTGTGTGTGTGTGTGTGTGTGTGTGTGTGTGTGTGTGTGTGTGTGTGTGTGTGTGTGTGTGTGTGTGTGTGTGTGTGTGTATGTGTGTGTGTGTGTGTGTGTGTGTGTGTGTGTGTGTGTGTGTGTGTGTGTGTGTGTGTGTGTGTGTGTGTGTGTGTGTGTGTGTGTGTGTGTGTGTGTGTGTGTGTGTGTGTGTGTGTGTGTGTGTGTGTGTGTGTGTGTGTGTGTGTGTGTGTGTGTGTGTGTGTGTGTGTGTGTGTGTGTGTGTGTGTGTGTGTGTGTGTGTGTGTGTGTGTGTGTGTGTGTGTGTGTGTGTGTGTGTGTGTGTGTGTGTGTGTGTGTGTGTGTGTGTGTGTGTGTGTGTGTGTGTGTGTGTGTGTGTGTGTGTGTGTGTGTGTGTGTGTGTGTGTGTGTGTGTGTGTGTGTGTGTGTGTGTGTGTGTGTGTGTGTGTGTGTGTGTGTGTGTGTGTGTGTGTGTGTGTGTGTGTGTGTGTGTGTGTGTGTGTGTGTGTGTGTGTGTGTGTGTGTGTGTGTGTGTGTGTGTGTGTGTGTGTGTGTGTTTGTGTGTGTTTGTGTGTGTTTGTGTGTGTGTTTTTGTGTGTGTTTTTGTGTGTGTGTGTTTTTGTGTGTGTGTGTTTTTGTGTGTGTGTGTTTTTGTGTGTGTGTTTTTGTGTGTGTTTTTGTGTGTGTTTTTTTGTGTGTTTTTTGTGTGTTTTTGTGTGTGTTTTTGTGTGTGTTTTTGTGTGTGTTTTTGTGTGTGTTTTTGTGTGTGTTTTTGTGTGTGTTTTTGTGTGTGTGTGTTTTTGTGTGTGTGTGTTTTTGTGTGTGTGTGTGTGTGTGTGTGTGTGTGTGTGTGTGTGTGTGTGTGTGTGTGTGTGTGTGTGTGTGTGTGTGTGTGTGTGTATGTGTGTGTGTATGTGTGTGTGTGTGTTGAAATAAAAGTTGTTTGCGATATCGATCTCTATAATTTTTGTTTATACATGATTTTTCTAAAATGGACCGTAATGGAAAAATTGTAGGAAAAGGGCTAAATTAAAATTTTTCAGTATTTTCGTTTTCAATGAATATCTATAGAAAAATGTTTCGAGGTAGATGTATGTGGAAAATGTATATATTTAGTTTATCCTCCACTAAACATTTATAGAGGTGCTGCAATAGGTTGTACAAAATAACCGGAAAAAGCCTGTAATAACTAGATAGGAAAGTCATGTGTTGGACACATCAGATTTTTTAGATAGTTTTCTAATATTCTTTTACAATATTTTTACAAAAGGGCCTCATATAGAAGAATGATTTAAATATTGAAGGAAGTATAATGTATTGTGAAGCATTTCAATATCTAGAATATAATAATTTATACCAGGATCGGGCTACACATTTTTCTTGTCAAAAAAAAAAACCCTAAAAAAATTACTGATTATAAGAAAAAGCTAACACATTGTATCAAAAAGTCTGATATTGATAATTTCTGATAAAAATACAATATTCATGCTTCTTTTTTCATCAATTTGCAAAGGCTCTCACCTGTCAAGCGTTATTACTATTACTAAAATACACATTAATTTAGCTCATTATACCAAACATTTTTACTATATTCACTATAAATTCACGCTTAAACACTGATTGCAAAGTTCTTAAACATAAAATGTATATTTAACAATTATTTTTATTCCTAATCTTCGATCTCGTCTGTACAAGTTTTCAAGTAACGATCAACTTAACCAGTGGCATTTACTAATCTTTAAAAATAACTTTGGTTACTCAATATTTTTTAATAATACCGTATTAATTATGTAGCGAAAACAAATTTTAATAAAAAAAATAACAATAAGAATATTTATTTACCAATAAAGGAATTTAACGAATATTATGGTCATTGAAAAACGTGTTTATAAAAACATGTTTCGTCTCTAGTAACAAATAACTATATAAAAATTGTCTGGTATTTATAAAAAAAGATATGTATTTAAATGATACCGCTATTGTAGTTTTGAGGTTGATTTATGTAACTATTTATTTTTTCATTTAAAAACAAACTTATTTTAAGAGACCGCTAATTGTGAAATTCTTATTAACTGTCAAATGTCAATATTATCTCTAATAAATAGAAAAATATTAGTACAGTCTGTTCGCTATATTTACGCAGGTTCCGGATTAAAAATTTTATGAGTATTTCCAGGTAAGTACCCGAAAGTTTGACCTGTTCTTTGGGGAAATATCAACTGGTTAAATGAAATGAAAAATAATGTACAATTTTTTATTTAAATAATAATGGAGAATATTTTGTATAATTGAGAGCAGAATTAAATTTCTTCATTAATGGAGTCTAATGTGGCTATTATAAACCTAATAATAATTATTTTATATTACAATTCACACAGAAAATATGTTCTATGTATAATAAGAGGGTTATTTAGTTCAAATAAAATATTTTCTAACATAAAAATTTGTTCCATGTAGAGAATTTCAAATGAAAAATAAAAAAATTGAACTTGCCAACAAAAATGAAAATCAGTCATTATCATCCAAAATATCATAATCGTCATCACCATTAATTGTTATTATGATTGGACTTATTTCGTTTATTTTATTTTCACGAGTCCACCAATCTTCTATTAGTTTCTAGCACTTGGATATACAGTTCCGCCACACTTCTGGAGTTGCAATTAAAAGTGCTTTTCGCCAAGTTTCCCGAACTTCGTCGTCACTATAACCATTAGGCCCAATATGGTTGTCATAATATTGTTTTGTTATTCCCCATATATATTAGATGGGATTAAACTGGCAATGATACGGTGGCAGACGTAAAACTTGATGACCGTAACTTTCAATAATCTGATCCACAACAAAGGTTTTTGGTTTTGCGTGTATATTTGCCAAGCGTAATAATTCTGATTTTAATATATATTGAGGAAATGGTATATGTTCCTTTGTCAACCATTCTTTAATTTTATCAACAGTCCAAAAATTCATTGGACTTTTGTTTAATACTTCAGAATGGTAAGGTGCATTGTCTAAAATAATTACGCTGGGCTCACTTAAACCTGGGAGAAGTTTTTCATGCAACCATTTTACAAACATTTCTGTGTTCATATTATCGTGATAGTCACTGGATTTTGATTTAGATGAAAATATTAAATCAGCACCTTCTATAAAACCCGATTTCCCTCCTGCATGTAAAATTATGTGTCGCTTCCCTTCTCCATCGGTATGTTTGATGGACTTTACGTTATCATCTTGCTATTGTATAAGCTGTGATCTTGCCATATTCTCTTGGTTGCACCCCTAGAAAATATCCATGTTTCGTCTAAATATATAAAATTCGCCCCTTCTTCTTTAAATTTAGAATATTTTCTTAGAAAGTTAATTCTCTTGTGCACGACAGAACTTCTTTCACAAAGGGCCTTTCTGTTATCCTCCTTTTAAAATTTGAAACCCAAGTTGTATCACTTGCCATAGACTTGTTTTGCCAATGTCATCAAATTTTCTATCTATTAATTTCGAGAGAATTGTATTTAAGGTCACATGTTCCTTGTTGGCATTCATTCGATAAATGGTATCACGAATTTCAAATTTCTTTCCATCTGGAATATCTTTCGTTTTCAATGATGGGCGAGTTTTGTGGTGATCTTCTTTCGGCAGTTCACTATTGTGATTTTGTAATACCCCTCTTAATTTGGTTTCACTAATTCCTAGAGCATCGCATACGCGTTGTTGTACAGACATTACCGATTTTAAAGGACAGCCATTTTCTTTTTCAACCGTAAAATACTTATGTACACTACAAATTAGACTATCTACATCTAACACACGTCTAGGCATTTTTAAAATGTCCACTAAATTTACAATATACATACAAAGTCAACATATTTGTAACAAATTTAGTACCTACCCTAATGTTATTTTAATTTAAATCTGACCATTAGGGCAATTTTACCTAATTTCTTGGGAAGAGGCTTATTGGAACTGGTTGTTAATGATTAATTTGCATAATTTTGTTAATCCGAAACTCGCGTAAGTATAGCGAACAGACTGTAGATGAAATGTTAGGGCATCAGACCACTTTGGTAACTTGTTCATCGAGTTAAAATATGTTGGAGAAGCTTCTGGACACTTAAAGAAGAAGAAATTGAGCTGTAAGTGACGTAGGATCATCTTCGGTTAAAGGAGACTTTGAAGAAGCTTCTACATACCCGAAGAAGATGAACAGGAGTCGAAGGAGTGATCAGAAAAGACTTTAAAGAATCTCTGGAGGAGAGGATAAGAAGACATTTCATCTACTTCAATTTTATCTTTTTCTTACTTATAATTACCACTTTTGATACTTTTATATAGGATTTTTATATTTAATTCTAGTATTCTGGGTAATGTATAATGGACGACTAAAATTATAACAAACAAATGTTTAAAATAATCACTGGATAAGACCATTATTGTCAAAAAATCAAATCATTTTTAGGTTTAAATATTTTTTATAGTCCAACCCTGATTACCCTCAATTCTGAAATGTTTACCATAAAAATGGAAGCATAGCAAATGCGCGCATAAACAAAATAATTCGTATCGAAATTTATAACCAAAATCCATTTGATCGAACTGTCTACTACCTC